CAGCGTGGAGCGCACATACCATATGTGAATATTTATGTGAGAATGTCACCTCGGCATATTTAGAGCTTAAGTAACAAATACAAGGGTTTCAAAGCAGTTTATGCTTTCTGTACTTTTATTTGGTTTATAGGGATATGGGCTACTCTCAAGAAAGCTTAACTGTGAGGTTTTTTTTTTTTTCCTCAGAGGCTGACACTTCTTGCCATTTTCATATCAACTTTTCTCTTCAGCCTGGCATGGCAATTTAATCAATTCATGATGCTGCTGCAGGCGCTGGTGCTCTTCATTCTGGACTCCCTGGACATGCTGCCGGCCGTGAAGGTGAGCGCTGGCTGCCCTGACACCGCCGAGTGGCTCTGGTCGTAGGTTGGGATGGAAACTGGTACAGACTTGTGACAGAGATGAAGCTCTGTGTAGACCTGTGTGATTACACTGTGTTCGCCTGATGCTGAGTACTGTGTGCAGCCCAGTTTGACAACCTCAGCTCTTTTTTTTTTTTTTTTTTTTTTTTTTTTTTGGTTTTTTTTTTTTTTTTTTTTTTTTTTGGAGATTTATTTACTTTTTTTTTTTTTTAATGTATACATATAAGTGCATATAAGTGTGTGGTCCATGTGCGTACATGCAGTACCCACAGAGGCCAAAAGAGGGCGTTGGGTACCCTTGGAACTGGAATTACAGATTTTATTAGCTGTCTTGTGGGTGCTGGGAATTGAACTTGGGTCCTCTGTAAGAGTTGTTAGTGCTCTTAACCACTGAGCCATTTCTCCAGCCCCTCAGCAATTTTTTCAAGTTAAGTAGTGCCTCTAGACACTTGAGGGATAGCTGAATGGTTTACTGCTCTTTCAGAGGACCTGGGTTCAAGTCCCCTTACATAGCAGCTCATATGGAGTTTACATATCTGAAAATCCAACTCCAGGAGATCCAGTGCCCTCTTCTGGTCTCCATGGGTATTGCATGCTTGTGATCCACAGTAAACTCATGCAGGCAAATAAATTTATATTAAATTTATATTAAATCATTTGATAGTACATCTATTGGAGGCCCAGGAATCTCAGTCAGTTACCATTTATAAACATGGCTTACAGTTTAAAATATAGCGTAACTTAAAATTTCCTAATATAGAGTACTTTTTTTTTAATGCAAAAACTCAGTTGGGCATATAATTCTTTTGTTTTCATTTTTTTTAAAAAAAGGATTTAATTTTACTGTACATATATGAGTGTTTTGCTTGCATGTGTATGTGTATGCTGCATGCATGCCTGGTACGGCAGAGGCCAGAGGGGCTCCAGATCCCCTGTAATTGAAGTTATGAATGGTTATCTGATGGCAAATGGATGCTGAGAACCAAACCTGAGTCTTCTGAAGAGCAGCCAGTGCTCTTAACTGCTGAGCCGTCTTGAGACAAAGCCTTACTCTAATCCAGGCTGACCTGGAGCCTCCAGCAGCCCCTGACCTCAGCCTTCTAAGTGCTGGGGTTACAGATAAGAGTCACTGTTCCAGACTGAACAATTACTTTCTTCCATAATGTTTTATAGAATTTTCAGTCACGTTCATGTGTGCTCTTGTTGACTGGTCAAACCCTACATATAAAATAATCACGGTTTGGTTTGCTCATTCTTGACTGTATGTACTTACATATACATACATATATGTATACATATACATACCTACACATAGATGCTTGCTTATAGACATAATTAAAAATAAAATCTTGTCTGGCAGTAGTGGTGCAAGCCTTTAATCCCAGCACTCGGGAGGCGGAGGCAGGAGGATCTCTGTGAGTTTGAGACCAGCCTGGTCTACAGAGCGAGTTCCAGGACAGCCAGGACTGTTACACAGAGAATCCCTGCCTTGAAAAACCAAAATTAATTAAGTCTTTTAAAAAGAGAGTAGGCTGGAGGGAAGGCTTAGCAGTTAATGCTTACTGGTTTGCAGAGGACCCCAGGTTCAATTCCTGGCACCCACTTGGTAGCTCATAGCTACCTGTAACTGTAGTTTCAGGGAATCGGACGTCGTCTTCTGACCGCCACAGGCTCCCGCCCTTACATATATCAGGTACTCACACATATCCATACTGTGCAGTCTTTTGAAAGCGAAGGCTGAGTGCAGGCAAGGTAGGGCACACACTTCTTGTTCCTGTTCCAAAAATAATGTAAAACCGTGGGCATATACACAAAGCAAGCGCTTGACCATGGAGTTAAAAAAGGAGATGACCAGTGTGGTGATCTGAGTGAAAAAGGCCCCCACGGGCTCATAGGGAGTGGCACCATTAGGAGGTGTGACCTTGTTGGAGGAAGCATGTCACAGGGGCTTTGAGGTTTCTGATGCTCAAGCCGGGCCCAGTGTCCCTCTCTGTTCTGGCTGCCTGCTGATCCAGACGTAGAGCTCTTAGCTCCTTCTCCAATACCGAGTCTACCTGCAGTCACCATGCTTCTCACCATGACAATAATGGGCTAAACCTCTGAACTGTAAGCCAGTCCCAATGAAATGTTTTCCAACCTGGGACAGCCGAACGGGCGCCAGTGGGTTGAGTGCTACTGTAGGGGATTGTGAGGGGAGCACGGATGGGCCCGGAAGCCACAGCATGATGAGAGCAATAAAGAAACTGGATAGAGAGACAGATGCAGCCCCTCAGCGGACCGCCTATCCAGGGATACATTGCCTGCTGTTTGCATCTCTTCCTTGAGCTGACTGTTGGGGAATGGCGTTGCCAACAGTGTCTAGCATCTTGGACCTGAGCCTCAACACACAGTGCACCAGATCCCCAGAGGAAAGCCATGAGGCTTGGGCACAACGCACAGATGCTGGCAAGCAGCCTCCTGAGTACAAGCTAGTGGTGGTGGGTGCTAGTGGTGTTGGCAAAAGTGCTCTCACTATCCAGATGACCCACCACTGCTTCGTGAAAGACCACGACCCCACTATCCGGGATTGCTACTGGAAGGAGGTGGCCCTGGACAATGGTGGCTACATTTGAATGTGCTGGACACAGCAGGGCAGGACGTCCTCAGGGCCCTGCGTGACCAGTGCCTGGCAGCTGGTGATGGTGTGCTGGGTGTCTTTGCTCTTGATGACCCCTCATCTCTGGACCAGCTGCAGCAGATATGGTCCACCTGGAGCCTGCATCAGAAGCAGCAGTTGCCCCTGGTACTCGTGGGCAACAAGTGTGACCTAGTGATGACTTCTGGAGATGCTCACACTGCTGCAGCAAACGTGGCTCATAAGTGGGGAGTCCCCTTTGTGAAGACCTCAGCTAAGACACAGCAAGGTGTAGAGGAAGCCTTTGCTCTCATTGTCCATGAGATTCAGAGGGCCCAGGAGGCTGTGGCTGAGCCAAGCATGGAGAAGACCCAACCACACGAAGCCACGTGTCGCTGTGGCTGCTCTGTAGCCTGAAGATCTTAGTCAAGCAAATTGACCCTTCTCTCATGTCATGTCAAGATGACAATTCCCTTGGCATAAGAGTTCCCTCCCCCACCAAATAAGTTGCCATGGACACCTTTTTATTCTCATTTGGTGAGGAGTAAGGTGGTAACAATGGGGTGTCCAGCACTGGCTGTGGTCTACGAAGCTCTGTGCAAAATTGAGTAAATGTTGTTCATACTTTAAGAAAAAGAGAAAGAAACTAAATAATGGACAGACTTTATCTTGAAAACAAATTGCTATAGTTACAGTAGCTAAACAGAAATAGATGTGGGTAAGCTGTTGTGTCCTGCCTAAGAGGACAGTTATTTTTCTGGGTTTAGATGTTAAGTCTGACCAGAAAAGGTTTGAGAAATCCTAGATGTGCTCCAAGAGAAATCCCTACTCTTACAGTGAAACCAGTATTTATCCCTAGTGTACAAATGGAATTTGGTAGATTATTACCTAAGGAGGGATACTCTCTCAACTCACATAAATGGAGGAGGTTCTAGGCCCTCCCCCAAATGATAGGACAGGCTTTGAAAAAAAATCCCCCATGGAAGGCCTCGCCCTCCTTGGGGTGTGGATGAGGGGGCTGGTGGGGGGCATGGGAGGTCGGGAGGGAGAGGGAATTGGGATTGACATGAAAAATGATTGTTACTAAACTAAATAAAAAATAAAAGAGAGAGAGCGGGGCGTTGGTGGCGCACGCCTTTAATCCCAGCACTCGGGAGGCAGAGGCAGGCAGATCTCTGTGAGTTCGAGACCAGCCTGGTCTACAAGAGCGAGTGCCAGGACAGCCTCCAAAGCTACACAGAAGAAACTCTGTCTCAAAAAAACAAAAACAAACAAACAAAAAAAAAAAGAGTTGCCATGGTCATGGTGTCTCTTCACAGCAGTAGAAACCCTGCCTAAGGAAACTAGAAACCAGACCGGAAGGAAAACGTGGCAACAAGTCACCTGTGTTTCCTTTTTCCTTCACAGATCCCAGAGTAGGCACTTGAAAACTCAGAAACCCAGAAATAGCAGTAGACTCAGAGAGAAAAGCACAAGAAAAACCCTTTCTGTAGCAGAGGACCAGAAAGGAGAGAACTTAGCAAGACAGAAAACTAACAGCTCACGGCGGCCAGCGCCTTCCAAACGCAAGAGCCCCGCTCCCAACTCTGCCAGCAGCTGGTCGTGGGAGCACCTGGATGTCTTCCCACCCCTGGCTCTACTGGAGCACGTCTGCTTCATGTCAGGGCCATGTCAGAAAATCTGCCGTTGTCACCAGCTCCCACAAGCCACATGGGGAGTCTGACTTCAGCCAACACTTAGCTGTGACGACATCTTTTCCCTCCCTGCCAGGATGGTATCAGAGGAGGCCACTGCCAAGATCAGAACACTAAGAAACTTCACAGTCAGAAAACCACCTGGTCCTCCTTGC